CGATACGGCACCATCGGCCTCTGGCATCGGAAACGGCAGCTTCAACACGACGGGCACGGCTGCAGACACTGGAATACCAGAACCGCCAGTCCCGCAAGGGCCTCGCGCGGCGATGTAACACTTCGACAGCTTCACTCGGAGCTTAACCAGGGCAAAAACGGCGCCGAGGCTGTCGCAGATGGCCAGCAGATCCGCGGGCTTGGCCAGCACGCGCGCGTCATCCTGTTGGCCAGAGACAGCGCCGCGCTCAGCGAGTTCAGCGTGCGCGTCGACGAGTGCAACGTGGGCGAGGGTGTTGGAGGCAGGGCAGCCCTGGTCGAAGCCGTCGAACGCGTCGATCCTGTGCAGTGCCCCCTTCTCGTCTTTCTACATGTGGCTCCGCGGGACGCGGATCCAAAAGAGAAGCTCGGCCATGCGCGGGATATTGTGGGCGACCTGCTGCTCGAGAAATTCGCTCTTCACGGAGTTGTGCATGTTCTCGATCTCGATCCCCAGCCACGCACGTCCAGGGTCGAGCATCCACTCGAGCACCTAGGCCACCGCACACGTCTGCAGTGTGTCCAGGCTGGCGACATGGGGTCAATTGTCAACGAAATCAAGCATTTCGCCCTGCAGTGTGTAGTGCCACGGTGGTGTATCAAGTCGGCGTCGGCTTCCTTCCACGTCTTACTGGACACGGTCCGTCCGTCGATAGACGGAGGTGCAACGGGCTGCGAGCTCATCCAAACCCTCCTCCCTGCGGCCTGGGCGTACGTGAATGGATTGGTTGCAGGTGCATTATGTTGTGCAGTCGCGTTGCTGGTACCGTTTATGCCTTCACATGTTGTATGTCTGGTGGTCATGTTGAACGCTCTGGTGTTTGACCTCCGCTCTGCATCTTTCAATATTCATGGCCACCAATGGGTGTTATCCAGCTTGTGTTGGTGCAGTGTAGCACGTCACTTGCATGGGCGTCAGGAGTGTCTTTGTATGCTGGCTTTGGGCGTACGTGAGAATCTGGTCATTCCCCTGTTTAAGTGGGTTCCGAGGCCAGCTGTCAGAATCCACGAGTGTGAAATGCTTCATCAGATGTTCCGTTCGCTCGTACAGGCCGTCCACTGAAGAGGTCGTCTCGCTGGTGCACGTTGGATCCTCCCCTGCCTCGACATGGTCTCCGAGGGTTATTTACAGTCGTACGGGTGCTGTGTACATGCAGCACGTGAAGGGTAGCAAGGGTGTCGTCTTCTTCCCTCTCCTCGTGTCGCTGGAGGTGGTCAGAGGGCGGGTGGCATGAAGTTATCAGTATATAAATTATTCGTCCACCCATGCCCACATCTCTCGTCCCCGCCCTCCCCCATCCCGGGTCTCTCAGGAAGCCCGAGGAACTCGTTCGACGCGGTGGTCCCTTGGGCCCGAGGGAAGCGGGCCCTGAGGGGAGCGGGTCCTGGACCACGCGCGGGGCCATGCCCCAGGACTGGCTTCTCACCCCGGGCAGATGTTCAACTGTCCTGGGGCATGGGGAGGGCCCCGGCAGCCCGAAAACGGCCGAGAACCTCCAGGAGGCGTTTCCCTTGAGAACCCCTTTCCTTCATGGCGATTCCCTTCTTCTACTGATGGGGGGTATGGCGAACTCATTCACCGACCGTCCTTGGAAATTTCGACTTGACATCAGATTGGGGGCCGAAATCGGGGATGCACGACGAGGGGGCGCCCATCCTCGACAGGGAGGAGTCCGAATAGCCCAAGCCCAGAGGGGTGCATCCCCAAGTTTCCCCTGCTGTCCTGAGCGGCACGCTCTTGGGGGGGGGAAATCAGGGGTTGTCGGCGGGAATGCGAGGCGGGGATTTATCCACATCCACTGCCTGGCGAACCGATGTCCTGAGACCCCAGGAGGCGGCGGATGTTGATATATGTCAGCCCCAGGGGGGCCGAATATATGTGTGGCCACGGCCTCCCGAGGTCCAGGAAGATCGGATTCCAAGCGGTGGATATGGATAAATCCCAGACTCGGAAAACAAAAAAACTCGCCTGCGATCCACCCCTCCTTCTGCGACCCTGCGCCAGAACGCGGCCTTCTGGTCCGCAGCGGTGGGCGCTCCCCGCGGGCGCGGCCAGCCGTCGTGGCGGGATGGAGCTGGTTGCGGCTGAGCGCGAGGCGGACGAGCGACATCACCGCGCTGGGAGGAGCGTCGGGCCGGCGGCACAACGGAAAGCCCCTAGCCCAGCAGTGGGCGCAAGAGCCGAGACAGGAGGAGGAGGAGGACCAGTGCAAACCCAAGACTCATCAACGACGTTGGAATTAGAATAAACCCTCCCAAAGTCGATCATAGGCCCCTGCAAAGCTTCATGTCCACTGAGGGGAGTGCCCCGTTGGGAGACAACCGTTGGAAGATCCTCAAGCGTGCCACAATACTAGTCTCAGAACTTCAACGCCACGAATCACCTTGACTGTTGCGTCTTGACGATCCTGAATCGTGCCAGGACACCATGTCATAGATTTCAGCATCGCAAATCAACGTAAATGCTGCGCCCTGACAATCCTGAATTGCTCCAAACAACGGCCCGCCCTCGATCCGTGAAACTCTTGCATTGTTTTAGAACGAGTGCGCGCGACGTTCAGGCAAGTCAACTATTGAACATCGCCGGCCCTCCATCCGTGGAACTGTTGCAAGTGTCAGGCTTCAGGATCACAAACGGAGAGGATGTCTCAGGCGAAACGCCCGGGTCGCCCTTTCGACCAGCCTCGGGGCGCGACAGGGAGTTATCTACGGAGAACATGGATGGACGACGACGACGACGACGAGGACGAGGACAAGGACCAGCGCTGCATAGGAGCACAGGAGAAGGAGGTGGAGGAGGAGCAGCAGGAGAAAATAACAAACGGAGGATGGGGGGAGAGGAGGACGAGGAGGCCAGAGGAGGAGGAGGAGGAGGAGGAGGAGGAGGAGTGTCAACAAATATTGCTCGACGTGTCGCGTTTGCGGCAATCGCAACACGCTGTCTTCAGAATTGGGACCCCCCCATGTTAGTATTCCAGGCCCAACGCGCACTCTCTTTCAGATCGACCGCACAAATGTCAAGAGGATGGGGAGCGATATGATGAAGGCATAGATAGGCTGGGGAGATGGCGAAGGGCAGCACGTGTTTCGAGGAGGCCCCTACTGTGGGTAGCAATGGCTGGGCATAGGCACAATAGTCCTCATCCGAGCTGAAGGGGCGAAAAATAACGCGGAGGCTGTTGGTAAGCCTTCCGCGCCTTGAAGAGCTGCGGGCATTCCATCACGCAGAGCAGCCAGCCAATGCCACAGAGGTGGTGGGATGTAGCCTCCGCCGCCGCATCCTCCTCCACCTCCACCTCCTCCTCATCGTCGCCAACACCACCATCACCACCATCACCACCACCACCACCACCACCACCATCACAATCATCAGTATCAGCATCAGCATCAGCATCAGCATCAGCATCATCACAATCATCATCATCATCATCATCATCATCATCATCATCATCATCATCATCAGCAGCAGCAGCAGCAGCAGCAGCAGCAGCATCACCGCCACCATCTTCATCACCATCATCACCATCACCATCATCATCATCAACATCATCATCAGCATCATCACCAGCACCGCCACCACCATCATCATCATCAGCAGCATCAGCATCACCACCAGCAACACCACCACCACAATCATCATCATCATCACCATCATCATCATCATCATCATCAGCCTCATCCTCATCATCAGCCTCATCCTCATCATCCTCATCCTCATCATCATCAGCATCATGATCATCACCACCACCATCATCATCATCAGCATCATCATCATCATCAGCACCGTCATCATCATCATCGTCATCATCATCATCATCATCATCATCATCGTCATCGTCATCGTCATCGTCATCATCATCATCATCATCATCATCATCATGAAGTGTCGGAGTGGCGGGCGGAGGCATCGATCTGGCGGGCGGCGGGGCAGGGCAGATGCATCCATTCCGCTCCTCATTCTTTGGCGAACGTCGGCTTGTTGCTGTCTTGAGCCGTCGTGACCTGACCTCCTCTCTCCCTCCTCCGCCATCCCTCCCTCGTTCCTACCCCCTTCAGCTTGGCAGACCCGAAATGAGGACGAAAAAAATTGGGACGCCGTTGGGCAGGCGACGTTGGCTTCAAATGGGGGAGAACGTCTGCGGCGACGCCGACGCGAGTCGTGGCCGTTCTTCCCGTCCCCATTCCGATCCTCCCGATCAACGGAGGGGGTGCGCCGAGGAGGGGCGCCAGGAAGAGGGGGGTCAGCGCACCGTGGCCCTAGGCATGTGCGCGGACAAAGGGGGGCCAGAGGCCAGAGGGCGCCATGGAATCTGGGAGATGTCATGGCCCTGGCCACGACATCCACCCCCCTAGTCCGCACCCCCCTCTTGGATGCCTTCGACCAGACGGGGAGAGGGGGGGCCCGCAGCATGGACGATCTCTCGGAGGAATGTCGAAGCCGCTGTGCCCCCCAGGGGAGTAAGGACCACAGCACCCCCAGTCGAGGCTGGCATGCGAAGCTAACCATCACTGGGGCTTGACCAACTCTTCGGCGGCGCGCCGAGGAGGGAAGACAGAGGGGGCGGGCCGTCTCAGAAGGCTCAGAAGGCCTCCAGCCTGCTGAGAAGCTGTCTGAGCCGTCTCCGAAGTCCCGCCGCCTTCTGGGAAGGCCTGCCCCTTCTGGAAACACTACTTTTTCACACCTCGCCCACAAACAAGCTTGTCCGGCACAAGACCGTGGAGCGGGGGCTGTGTACAAAATTGGCAACCCCTAGGGACACAATTTTTACACCACCCCAACGGACAAGACGATCCGGCACAAGGTACGCGCGCGGGGGCGGTGGCCAGTAAGTCGCCCCCCCCGCCCCTCTCGGTTCCCCTCGGCGCGCCGCTGAGGTCCCAGCGGGTGAGAGACCGACCCCTGCGTTGCGTCGGCCAGCCGCTCTGCGAGGACTTGCGCGCCACAGGCCAGGCGCCGTTGGCTCAGGCGTCGACGCCAGGCGCATCCCAGCCCTTGGCGCGGAGGCCAGAGGCGATGAAGTTGAGCCTGCGGTTTGGAAGGGGGGGGGGGGCTCGACCTTCTCATCGTCCTCCTCTTCCTCCACCTCCTCCTCCTCCTCCATCAAAGCCTTCGAAGCCTTTGAGGCCTCCAGATACAGGGAGGGCACTGCCCAAACCTGCGCGAAGAACGTCAACCCTGGGCGCATCGACTCATTCAGCCGCATCCTCCTCCTCCTCCTCCTCTTCCTCCTCCTCCTCCTCTTCCCCAGTCCCCCGCCTGCATCTCTCCCGCCGCTTCCTCCCTCCGCCTCGTGCTCTTACTCTGTTGCCGAGCTAGACAGAGGAGGCGGCCGTGCGGCCTCTTCGCGTTGACCCCGAAGTCGCTGTCGCCCACGCGGGATGAGCTCTTCACGCTGACAGAGTCGTCCCCGAAGCTGACCTCCAGCCCGACCGGCGACGCTGGGGGGGTGGAAACCTGCAGCCGAAGTCTTGCGGTCCGAACCACAGGCCGTTGACACGAAATTTGTGACGAGCAGAAGGGTCGGGGTTTGAGACGACTCTTCAAGAGGCTGCGAGGCTGCTTGGAAGAGATGGGCGCACGCGCACTTTCCACGTCGTCGACCACGTGCGCAACAGCAGGGCGGCACACACACACGACCACGCACGCACGCACGCACGCACGCACGCAATCTATGTGTAGATGTATATATACATATGCATACATACATATATATATATATATATATACATATACATATATATACATATATATATATATATATATATGTGTTGTTGCGTCGGCGGCTAAGCAGAATGACTGCGCTGGCGGGTGTGGCAAACACACACACACACACATACACACACACGCTGTCCCTACTACGCGGCGATTGACGGGTTGCAATCGCCGGCTCGATGAGGGCCGAGCAATAACGCTGCCAAAACGAATCAATCCACACACACACATGCCGTGCCGGACGGCGTTGTGCCAAATTCGGCGAATAAGCAAACGGCCGCCGTCTACTGGCCCACTATCGCAGGTGATAGCGACTACAAGAGCGGAACCGAGACGCGCAAGCCAGTGAAGCCAACGCTTCGCGACAGCGATACACGCTCCACTGGGCACACCCAGCTCGTCATCGAGTCGAACTGCAGAGGATCGAGGCGGGGGACACAAGGGCGAGGTGGAAAGTGGGCCAAGATTGGTACTGCGGTGCAGTATGCGGCAGGATGCGAACAAAGTTGCAGGGAGCGCCGCGAGCGCACCGCACCGCCATGGAGGAGCAACTCCAAGGCACCCGACAGAGGTCGACAAGGACAAAAAGGGGAGCTAACACCGGCCCAGCACACAACCGCAAACAGCGCGGTATGACCCGAGCCTTTGGCAGCGACGGCGCCAATCGGCGCGAAGGAAGTCGCGCATCGGCGGCGGCTCACGGGGCACGCGTTAACCTCAAAACGCGAGGTCAAAGGAGCGGGGGAGAGAGGGCACCAGGCCGCAAGAGAGCCTGCGGGACCGAACAACCAACGCATCTCAGAGGCCAAGGACCCTCACCAGCGGAACAAACGGGGGATGCGGCGCCAAGACCAAGTTAGGGCGTCCGAAATCTGGGAAAACCCTTTGAGAGATCACACCCGAATACACTTTTTCATCGGCGGCAAGGCAGAAGCAGTCCGCTCCAGCGTCTGGCTATTCGGGACAACCGAATGGCGAATTGTCGAGCGTGCAAGAGGAAGAAAACAACACGAGGGCGGCCGCGCGGGGGGAGCAGGAGGGGGAAGAGCTCAGACGTGGAAGAGTTCCGCGTAGAGCAGGCCGGAGCGGCCAGCGGAATCAGCGGGGACCGTGGCAGCAGCCAGGGCCGAGGCCAGGGAGCATCCGCGAGCGATGGCAGGGCGCAGTGACGATTGCGAGCAAGTAGTGAACCAGTCCAGGGTCCGAGGACTGCCTTCAGCAAAGTGGTGAGTCCACCAGGTGCACCGACTGTGTGGTGCACACCCAAATACACGTCGGGCAAGCAAAGGTATCGCATTACGCCGTCCCTGCAGAAGCCATCGCCACCGTCGCCGTTTTGCCGTAGAACGTGGTCTTGCGAAAACGTTTGCATCGACCTCATCGTCCCCTGGTCCGTTCGTCCCAGTGTTCTCGTTGTCCTCGTCCGCCTCATTATTTGTTCCTCCTTCTTGTCCTCATCGTCGCGCTCCTGGTCCCCCTCATATTAGCGTTACTATGATTTGTATTACTGCTGCCATCCCACGCACCATCCTTCGAGCCTCCTCCTCCTCCCCCTCCTTATCCTCGTCCTTCCCCTCCTCCTCCCCTTCCTCCTCCACCTCATCATCATGTTCCTCCTCCCCCCATTCTCCATTCCGTTTCCTTCTAGATAACTATTCCCTGTCGCACCGCCAGATGTGTCCCTAGGCTGGGCGGGGCGTTGCGCCTGAGACTTCCCTGTCCAATGTGATTTGAAGCTTACAACTAGCAACAGGTTCAAGGATGGAGCCCAAGTCGTCTTCAAATGAGTTTATCGAACCTGCGCCGCGCACACTCTCTCGAAAACTTGCAACCGCTTCAAAGACGGAAGCGGGTTCCAACTTGCAGCAATTCTCGCCCTAAGGCCGCGCACACTCGCCTTAAACACTTGCAGCAGTCTTGAAGATGTCGGCCGGCACCCTTTTCCGAAATATGGTTATCGCTCTTGCGCCGCGCACAAGTATACGACTTAAACCCGCCATTCTGTCGAAACACAAATATGCTCACGCCGAGACGACCCAGCCCTCACCATTCGATGCAGAAGCTGTTGACCTGCACATACGCATACGACCAAACCATCACCACTTTACCATCTTACATAGCCAAACACTATGCGGCGCACATCCAAGCGACCCATCCCCAGGCTGCCCCAGGCGCTCCCAGATGCTCCAAAACGCTCCCAGGCGCCCCCAGACGCTACAATCCCTCCCCAAGCGTTCCAACGCTCGCCGTCGTCACCAGTAGCATCGTCGCCGCAAGAGGCCTCAACGAGCAGATGAATTCAGATCGCGTGATGCGTGGATCACAAATGATGTTCACAATGGGGCTCTCGACTTGCTGGCACCATACACCATCATTTCCAGATAGAGGGCAAGTCGTTTTCAAAAATGGACTCTCGCCCCGGCGCCGTGCATACTCGGTTTCCAAATTGTCCTTAGCCGCGCGAGTGGACGACAAGTCCTTTCCAGGACGGTGGGGACATTTGACAAAGGAGCCCTTAGATAAGGAATCCAGGATCTGGAAAGCGGTGGAACTCCCATCGTGGATTGGCCAATGGATATCATTGTCTGCAGCCTCCTGGGCACATCATCTTAATGAACGTACAGAACCTACCATCTACACTCACTTGACCCTTCCTCGACCTCGACGACCTGGCGTTCCAGATGGTGCACCTGCTAACACGGATGGATGGCGGCTCCTCCTTCGAAACGGGGTTCGGCGCGAAACAGACGTCCAGGACGTTGACATCTTGCAACGCTCAGACCGTTTCAAAATGAGGCTATCCCCTGGGCATCCTTGAAGGGTTCTGGCGTGGGACTTCCACGGAGCATGAGTCCACGACCTTAAAATCCTGCAACTCTCAAACAGATCCGCCGACACCCGCTTGTCGGGGGTGAGAAGGCGTGTAAGATGCTTAGCTGTCCTTCCTCCCCGATTCCCCCTCCCCCAGGGTCCACAATCTTGTTTAAGGAGGGGGTAACCTGGAGAAGCAATTACAACCCCCCCCTTCCGGCGAAACGATATCCCCCCGCACCTGGAAGCGTTATTCTGGCACCTGGGGCTAGGAGGAGGAGGAGGAGGAGGAGGAGGAGGAGGAGGAGACGGCGATGGCGACGGCGACGGCGACAACGACCAAGCGGATCGGCCGACTCGCCTGAGTCATCCTCGCATTTCTTAATACAAATAGCAAAATCCCCTGAGACACCCTCGCATTTCATAATAGAATTGGCCAAATCGCCCCAGACATCCTCACATGTCTTAATAGAACGGGCCACATCGCCTGAGACATCCTCGCAGTTTTTATTAGCATTTGCCAAATGGCATGGGACATCCTCATATTTCTAAACAGGATTGACCACATCGCCTGACACATCTTCACATTTCTGAATAGAATTGGCCAAATTGCATCAAACATTCTCATATTTCTTAATCGAACTTGCCAAATCGCTTCAGACATCCTCACATGTCTTAACAGAATTGGCCAAATGGCATGAGACATCTTCATGTTTCTAAATAGAATTGGCCAAATCGCTTGAGGCATCCTCACATTTCTTACTAGAAGTGGCCAAATCGCCGGAGGCATCCTTACATTTCTTAGTAGAAAAGACCAAATCGCCCGAGACATCCTCGCATGTCTTAGCAGAATTGGCCACATCGCCTGAGACATCCACACATTTCTTAATAGAATTGGCCACATCACCTGATACATCCTCGCCGTTTGATCAGCATTTGCCAAATCGCTTGAGACATCCTCACATTTCTTAGTAAAATTGGCAAAATTGCATCATACATTTTCATATTTCTTAATAGAACGTGCCAAATCGCTTCAGACATCTTCACACTTCTTAATAGAATTGGCCAAGTGTCATGAGACAACCTCATATTTCTAAATATAATTGGCCAAATCGTTTGAGGCATCCTCACACTTCTTATTCGAATTGGCACAATCGCCTGAGACATCCTTACAATTCTGAATAGAATAAACCAAATCGCCCGAGACATCATCGCATGTCTTAGCAGAATTGGCCACATCGCCTGAGGCATCCTCACACGTCTTAATAAAACGGGCCACATCGCCTGAGACATCCTCGCAGTTCTTATTAGCATTTGCCAAATCGCCTGAGACACCCTCGCATTTCTTAAGAAAATTTGCCTACTCGTCTACTCGTACTCGTACTCCTATTCGTATTCCTATCCTTATTCCTTATTAGAATATACTCCTACTCCCCCCTCAGGCCGGCCGATAGGGGCCGCATCCGGGTGGTCCCATCCTAACCTGTAAAAAACAATACAACATCAACATTTTTTTATTTTTTCCTCTCGACATGGACGTCCTGTCGTCCACGGCGATAATCCATTGCAAAAAATACCAACAAAGAGCACACGCGCGCGTTCATGTCAGAATCCTACCGAACACCGTGTGTTTGCAAGCATTTCAACATAAAAACATCAAAAACCCAATGCTTTTTCACAAAAATTGTACAAATTTCCCGCCCGGGCTCTCTTGCTGAAATCATAGGAAAACCATAGGAATCTTAAGAATTCGGTCAAATCCAGCGATTTCACGTCATCGCGCGGTGCACTCGCGATGCTCTGTCATGCACCCAGGCCGCGAATCCTGTGCAAAAAATACCACAAAGAGCACACTCGCGCGTTCATGTCAGAATCCTACCGAACACCGTGTGTTT